CTTTTAATATATATATATATATATATATATCTATATATATATGTTAATATGATTATGTTGTTTTATTTACTATATTTTTTAATCTTTTTTTTTACCGCCAAAGGTTCCAACTTTGAATTGTTTGATAATTTTATTATAAAATACATATTTTTCAATATATTTATTAAACTATGTTATTATCTTATTTATTTTATTTGTTTGGAAGATGATTTCCAAAATAATTCCAAAATTTTATCGATATTAATGAAAATATGACGATCCTCTCATCAAGGGAAGCGTCACAATATTACTATTGCTATCACAAAACATTAAATGAATTAAAAAATAAACAAAATTAATTAAAAATAGCACACATTTCTTACAAAATATCACTGTTGCATGCAATAAATTCTTCGGTCACTACATGTCAAACATTCAATCAACTATTAATGCATTTCATTATTAACCCTAAGTCTAAAAAATTATTATAATAACATAAAATCTCAATTACAAAACTTAACACAGTTACTCCTTTACAATGGACACAAATAAACTACATTCTTCACCAGTTGTTATGACTTCTCCTAATGTCAACCGCATCAACACACAACCAATTACTATTGAAATGGCAGGGCCATCAACAAACAAAAGTCCAACCATTACCTCGTCACCAAATGCTGAAGCCTTTGAAACCACTTCAACTTCTTTTGGGTTAGTTTAACAATGCATTTATTGTAAATCACTTGTATTCATTCATGGAAGTTGGATGGTTGGTAAACAATACTTTTTTTACAGGCCAATAAAAGTTATTTCTCTAACCAATAATCTTGACACAACCAAGCAACATGAAAATCATTCCAATGTAATACTTTTTTTCTACTACATCTCAAAAATCATTGTCATTACGTACATACATATGGTGAATTCATTTAATGGTTCATTTTGTAGAATGCAATTGAACTACTACTTGTTCAGAAAACTATTCAGGCCATATACTCCGCAACAAAACTCATTTCTAACATGACTCAGGTTTGGCATGAAACATTTTATACTTTTTTATTTATTCAACAACCTCAATCATATATACTAACTTATTTTTTTTACAACTTCATTTATAGGGTGTTAATGAGCGTCTCGAGGAAATGGAGAAAAAACAAAATGAAATAGATAACGCTTGCAAAGATTGAGTCTCAAATTAATATTACAAGAGACATAACTATCAGTGCAATTTCTCGCTCAATGAATGTTCAACCAAATTCTCCAACATTACCAAGTACAAATCCAGATACTGGAGTAAACACCACCTAAGTGAATATATTGTCAGACATATGAATTTATGTTTTTATATATATATAATCCAAATGTTTATTATATATATATATATATATATATATAAATTATAATTTATACAAACTAACTACTAAATAAGTGAAAGTATAAAAAGTTAAAAATACAAATAATTGTGTCTACGGTTTATTAATTATGATTTCGGGTTTAGGGTTAAGGTTTTGTATTTCATTAACCCTAAACTTTAAACTCTTAGGTACATATTGTAACTTCTACATACATGAGAATTTATATAGGATTTAGTTCATAGTATTCATATTAACATTGGATGTTTGAAGTATGTAGTTAATAGTTTAGCCTAACTTGTATGACTAAAGCCTTTAATGTTAACAAAAACTTTAATATATATTATAACAACATATATATATATTTAATATCTTTTTTTTTAAGAATTGTATTTTTTTATATTTTTCTTCACTAAAAAACCAATATTATATATTCATAATAAAAAAAAATTAATTAATAAAAAATCAAAACTAAAAAAGCAAAATTCTAAACAGTAAAAATTTATAAGATTTATGGTTTCTCAAAATAATGACTTCTTCGTATGAATTCTTATATATATTTATTTTAAAATATTCAAAAAAATTTATAATAAATAAATTACCCATTCTTTTAACAAATCGGAAAAATATTGTATTTGATTTTTCTTTCAATTTATTCTTATATTATTCTTTATTATAAAGTGTTATATAAATAAGTACATAATGAAAAGTTGTGCATTTCTAGACTATAAACATCAAATTAATATGAAATTTGTTAAGTATGACACAAATGACTTTTCAGTGTTTAAAATTGAAATTTTCATCTATTTGTATTAACTTTGATCAAACAAAATTCATCACTACCTCCCTGCATCAATAATTAAAGTATCCATTAACATCAAGTTTAGATAAATAAACTAAATTCCTAGAAATACTAGGTACATAAAGAGTTTCAAAAAAATCTAAATAATGATGTCCAGTGTCAAGGATTAAACGATAAATCCCAATTGCTTCTACTGGAACCTTCACTCTATTGCCCATAAAGACAAACTTTTCATTTGGCTTTGTGGTTCGGGTCGTAAGGAATCCTTACATTGTATTAGAAACATGAGTTGTGCATCCAGAATCAATCCACCAAGTATTATAAGAAACTTCAGCTAAATTTGATTTGAAACATACATAAGCACTAGGCTTACCTTTCTTTTCGAACAAGCCTTACATTTTGGACAATCCTTTTGGAAGTGGCCATTTTTTCTACAAAAATGACATTTGTTGCCACCCGTCCAAAAATTTGAAACCCACAATCCCATTTCATTCGACATCAAAACACCCACTTTCAGAAATTTGCGGCCTCTCGTCATTTCCTCAAACCATTTCCATCTCCCTTTTTAATTTTTCACAACAAATAATTTGCATTGTTGCACTACAAGCCAAATCTACTATTTCTAATGTAAAACCCCATTTTAATTCCCATTTTCCTATTACTACAAGTGTATTTCTTCCCACCCCTTTCCATATTCCTATCTCGCCATCTATACACACTAACTCCTCCATCAACAAATCTCAACTCCCCATCCAAAATGAAACTCCTAATTAATCTTTTGACATTTCTACCCCACCAGGTGGCGTCTACTCACTTTTTCGGTAACATATCGGTTATTAAATACTAGTGAGTTTATTGTCAAGCAATCTCCACTAGGGATGGCAACAGGGCGGGGCGGGTACGGGTTTCATGATACCCGTCCCCGTCCCCGCAAGTTAAACTCATCCCCATCCCCGTCCCCATACCCGTCGGGTATAGATTTTCATCCCCATCCCCGTCCCCGTCGGGTATCGGGTATACCCGTACCCGTACCCGTCAATTTTTTTATTTTTTATTTTTTGTAAAAAAAATGATATTTTTAAATTATTTTTTTATTATATTATAATTATAATTAAGTTATTTCTTTATCTCATATTATAATAAATAATCACACATAAAAAAATATTAAAATTCTTTAATATAATTAAATATTAAAAGTGAGCATTAAATTAAAAATGGAACGGGGACGGGTACGGGGTGGGTAAGTACATACCCGTACCCGTACCCGTACCCGATTTAATATATCGAGTTTTACTCGTACCCGTACCCGCACCCGGTCAAACTGGGTATTTCCCGTCAAAGTCGGGACAAGTTCAGGTATTACCCACGGGTACAGGTATATTTGCAATCCTTAATCTCCACTGCCCATTTACACCTCAATTCTTGTGTGTTTTTATTTTCTTATGAAACTTGAGGATAAGATTCAAAGTGGGCCCGTTGGTAATGTTAAGACAAGCCTCATGCCCAAAAAGAAAAAAAATTAATTGGCTTAGAAATTATAACCACTCAATCTATTTAAAATTTGAATCTTAATTCATGTAATTCAAATTAACAAGCTAAACTGAGTTATTATCTGAGTTTGAATCAAATCAAATTTGAATCAATAAAAACCTCATATTAAACTCGAGTGGAGCTATGAGAGAAATCAAAATAATATTTATTAGAAGTTAAATTATTAAATAAGTATCAATATATAAAATTTATTGATCCTTAGTTTTCGGTTAGCAAAACCCAGTTTATCAAAACAAAAACAAAACAAAACAAAAAAAATCAGTTTTCACGTGACTTAGGAACAATACGTACCTTATATGCTTGTGGAGTACATGCTCTAATCACGTGACAAGTTTTCGCAAATGTTTTCAGTTTTCAGAAGCAATAAAGCAGTGTGTAAATATTTAGATACATATAACATAACCCTTGGATATGCAAATGTGTGTCTGCTTTGAATCTTTATGATTCTATTTAGTATTATTTTTTCTCAAAATGTAACCGACAATAATTAGTAGTATCTATGTTCGTAACTAGATTTCGTTCATATACAATATGCATGGTGATATATGAAAAAACTTTAAAATGCATTATTGTTATTATTATTATTATTATTATTATTATTATTATTATTATTATTATTATTATTATATGAAAAATACTTATTGTCTATACTATTAAAATTAATCTAGTGACGAATAAAATGAAATAATATGTACATGATTATAAATTTAAATTTTATATTATCATTATAATTTTGATAAATAAAAAAATTACATAGAGAACAAATTATAAATTACAATTGAAACAGAAATTGGATTCAAGCTTTAAACCCACAGATTGCACATGTGAAAATAAAAAGGCATGTATGAAATTCTTAAAACAAATTTCGTCTAACCACAGCCATTTGTATATCTGCAGGACACAATTTATGTGGATATATGAAAACCATGACAATGACATTACTAATTTTATGATTACCTATTTAAATCAACTAACCACGTCACCAATGCACTATGTCCCCTCTTCTGTTACTGTTAGACTTGATAACATAAATTTTACCGATGTGTCAGTGTCACACTTTATGCATCTTTTATTACACAGACATAGCCTATCCAAAATCATAGGTGGCAACTTCTTACTGGACAGAATAGGTATTTAATGAGATTTTTTGAGATATTTGATCTGCGTTGGTAAGGCTAGGAAACAATCAATTCAACATAGATAAGTGGACAAAAGGGATGCTCTAAACCAATAGAAATTCAGATATAGATCTCGTATAGATAAGGACCCTATTCTTCTTTACGCTATATATTGTGTTCATAGGCAACACCAATAACCATTCTCTCCAATTTCACTTGCAAAGTTTTTCACTGTATTACAAAATCAATCTATTACAATGGCTGCTTCAACAATGGGTCTGTCTTCACCATCACTGGCTGGCCAAGCAATCAAGCTGGCCCCCTCCACCCCAGAGCTAGGCAATGGAAGGGTCAGCATGAGGAAAACAGCCTCCAAAAGCGTTTCCTCAGGAAGCCCATGGTACGGCCCAGACCGTGTAAAGTACTTGGGCCCATTCTCGGGTGAGGCCCCATCGTACCTGACTGGTGAATTCCCAGGTGACTATGGTTGGGACACTGCTGGGCTTTCTGCTGACCCAGAGACTTTTGCCAGAAACCGTGAACTGGAAGTGATCCACTCGAGATGGGCCATGTTGGGAGCCTTGGGCTGCGTCTTCCCTGAACTATTGGCCCGCAATGGTGTCAAGTTTGGCGAGGCCGTGTGGTTCAAGGCTGGGTCTCAGATATTCAGCGAGGGTGGGCTTGACTACTTGGGCAACCCAAGCTTGATCCATGCACAGAGCATCCTTGCGATCTGGGCCACCCAGGTTATTTTGATGGGTGCTGTTGAGGGTTACCGTATTGCCGGTGGGCCTCTTGGTGAGGTGACAGACCCAATCTACCCAGGTGGGAGCTTTGACCCATTGGGCCTTGCAGATGACCCAGAGGCCTTTGCTGAGTTGAAGGTGAAAGAGTTGAAGAATGGTAGGTTGGCCATGTTCTCCATGTTTGGTTTCTTTGTTCAAGCCATTGTCACTGGAAAGGGACCTTTGGAAAACCTTGCTGATCACTTAGCTGACCCAGTCAACAACAATGCCTGGGCTTATGCCACCAACTTTGTCCCCGGAAAGTGACTGAAACTATGAGAAACATCATGATTTGCCGATGAGAGTGACAATTTCATTTTGTTATGCGGTGAAATATGTATTAGATGTATGATTATGAGAATAATGTGAATTATATATCTTTATGGTGCATTTGGAATTTTGGATCTTTCTTTGGTTTTCTACACTTTAATGCACTTTATGTATATATTATTCAAAGATGTTAAGATGAGCCAAATTTGGTGGGTCAATATGACCCACCATAGATTTAGGTCGATTTTGGTTAAATATTAACTCGATTCATTTAATTCATGAGTCAAGTTCGAATTTAAGTAAGTCGTGTTGGTCTATTTAATTCGTAATTAAAAAAATTGAATATATATATATATATGTTTTATGTAATTTTTATTTGAAATTTTGATTTTTTCTTTTGTATTTGTATTTAAATCAATGATAAACTTGATTTCTTTATATAAAAAATTATAACCTTTTATTTTACTTATTAAAAATAGAAACATATAATCAATTTTTTTTTTAATTTTTAAAAAATATGGTGAGTTAATCCACCTAACCCACCAACCAGTGGTGGGTTTGTCGCAACCCGAAAATTTTCGATCTCGCGACTAATGGTTTAAACATCTTTTTAAAAATCTCATTAATTAAGGAATGCCCGGACACCAGACTAATCCTTAATTAATGGTTTTAAAAATAGGTTTATGGAGTCGCCACCAATGTTTTACTCAAAACATTGAAAAAAGAAAAGGTTTTAAAAAGATCCAATAATGACCTTGATAACCAGAATTGGGTTCAGGAGTCGGTTACTAGTAGGGAAGGTATTAAGCACCCCTACAGCGCCCTCAATCGGTACCCTATGATGAAGTTAACGTGATAAGAAATAATAAATTAAATATTAGATCCCCTTTATTAATAATTATTTACATACTTGAAATTTAAATAATACAGTTAACCCTAAAATGTCTACATGATTATTTTTATTATAACGATAATTATTATAGATAAGAAATAAAAAAAGAGAAAGAAATTAACTGAAATACCTCTTGAATGAGCTCTATTGGATCTTCAAAATAGGGAGATTTTAGGTGCTTTGTGGCAACCTTTCGTACTACAATTACCTCACAATACTCAAGAAATACAATAGGAGATAGAGAGAAAAAAATAGAGAAATTTTGAGATCTCAGGAGTGCTGGACGAAATTTTTGGGGTCCTTGAGAACTGTGGCGAGATTTCTATTTATAGGCATCAGACGTGGGCCGGAACGGCCCGTTCTGGATTCGGAACGGCCCATTCCGGATTCGAACGTTATGTATTATTTTTGCACCCTAGAACGACCCATTCTGAAATCAGAACGGCCTGTTCTGAAATGAGAACGGTCCGTTCTGGGGTACAAATTTTAGCCCCTTTGATTGGTTTGGAACGGCCCATTCCAACCTATTATTTTTAGGCCTTTTAGGAGTTTCAGAATGACCCATTCCAATTCAAGAACGGCCCGTTCCGGGCTAGTAAAAATAGTTGATTTGGGCTTTTGGGCCCTTTGATGTCCTATCTTGTTGTTTGTATGCCCCTGAACGAAATTGGGTGTCTACAGCTGTCCCTCTTTACTTGTCCTTTGGAATAGCTGTGTTACTTTTCCAAAGGCAAGTAAAAATGTAGACATTTCCTTCGGGTCTTCTTCTCGTCTCTGTGTTGATGCTTCTATGTTGCTTCCCTCGGATAGGTGTATTTGCTTGTATCCTCACCCTTTAGAGCAGCTGAGTGCTGGGTTGCGTACTCTATTGGGTAACAAGGGTGACAAACTATACACCTGATCTTCAGTCTTCGAGTAGATGTTCCATGTCATGGCTCTTAATTGCTTCTCTTGCGATAGTGAGGTGGAGATCCGGATCTTCAACCTGCTGATGTTTAGTATTGTTGTGTCAGCCTCTCCAAGCCAGTTGTTAATGGTCAGTTTTGTTGTGCCAGCCTCTCCAGGCCAGTTGCTGATGGGTGATTTTTTGTGCCAGTCTCTCTAGGCCAGTTACTAATGGTGAGTATTGTTGTGTCGGCCTTTCCAGGTTTCCTGCTGCTGATATTGTGAGTATTGTTGTGTCGGTCTCCCCAAGCCGCCTGCTGATGTTGTGAGTATTGTTGTGCCGGCCTCTCCAGGCCGTCTACTGATATTGTGAGTATTATTGTGCCGGCCTCTCCAGGCCGCCTGCTGACATTGTGAGTATTGTTGTGCCGGCCTCTCCAGGCCACCTACTGATATTGTGAGTATTGTTGTGCCGGCCTCTCCATGTTGCCTGCTGATGTTGTGAGTATTGTTATGCCGACCTCTCCAGGTTGCCTGCTGATATTGTGAGTATTGTTATGCCGGCTTCTCCAGGCCGCTAGTTGATATTGTGAGTATTGTTATGCCGGCCTCTCCAGGCCACCTGCTGATGGTGAGTATTGTTATGCCGGCCTCTCCAGGCTAGCTGTTGATGGCGAGTATTATTATGCTGATATTGTGATTTGATTGCCCCCTTTTCTTTGGCAAGGACGTCTGATGAAGACGAGGATTGCTGGTTGGTGGTGCCCTTGTGCTGGTGGGCAAAGGAGTTGATGGGTGACAGGAATTCTAGTGTTGCCCCTGCCATGTGAGTATTGTGATGCCTCTCCAGGCGTAATGTTGAGTCATTTTGATTTATTGATGATTGATTATTTGATTGTTGATGGATGGTTGTGGAATGAAAGACTGCCCCTAGGTGGATGGGCAGGAGATGTTTGTTGTGTCCCTATGTTGGTGGACAGAGAAGTGGATGGCTGGCAGGGATTCCAATGTTGCCCCTGCCACTTGAGTATTGTGATGCCTCTCCAGGCGTCTTCATTGTGGGATGATTTTTTCTAAATTTCATTTTTTTAAGCTTCGGCTCCTTCATGTTTGAAGCTTGCCTTTTTCTGCCATTTTATAAATTGCTTCAGCTTTTTCAACATTTACGAAGCTTGCCTTTTTTCATGTTGTTGCTTTTGCTCTTTATTATCATCATTGGTGGAGGGATCTCATCCCACGATGATGTTATTTGTTGAATCTTTATTAATGAGTATTATTTTGGAAGTCACTCCTAGCTTTGGTTAGGAAGTCATTCCTTGTCTTGGCATTTTTTGGATCATCCTTCATTTAGTTGAGAAGTAAGGTGCGATGGCCTCTTCATGCTTACAGACTTTCTTGTTTGGTCGATTCTATCCTATTCCACTGTTGATATGTCTTTGCTTAGTGGGCACATAGAATCACTTGGTGTTGTCGTTTGTCACTGCTTCGCTCATGGTTGGCTATTTAGCTTGTGCTTCGTCCTGATGACTCCTTCTGACCCATAGTAAGCAGAATGCATGGATGTATGGATGCACATGAAAATGCAAGATAGAAATGATTTTTATTATTTATTCTTTTTTCTTGTGTAACGCCCTTCCATATTCCCCTACCTCATATGCATGCAGTGCAGTTTATGCTCATGTGTTTGTTCCTAAAGATGCAATTCATTTTTTTTTATCGGGAAATTAACCTGTACGCGTTAAGGTTAATGATGACGATTCCTTTTTATCCATGCCATTTTTGATTATTGTCGGGATATACTCCTTTAAACCCAACGTTTAAGTAGTTCCTTGATTATCTAGTCGATGTGTAATCAAGCGTCTCTAACCTCTGTTTGAGGACATCTTAGTCTTCCCTCTGTGAGTATTCACTGTACATTTTCCGTGTATCTTTTCGGTACCATTTTAATGCCTTAAGGGTCAAGAGAAAAGAAGAAAATGGATGTTTGTATTTTTTCAAACAGTTGTTAGAAGGGATTTGTTTTTCAAAAGGGGTTTTCAGAAGAATGGTTGGCCAAGGTGGGCTTTAGTGTTTATGACTATTAAACAAAGCATATTTGCTACAAAGAATCTATCATTGTGTTTAGCCTTTTTGGAAAGTGAAGTGATGACTCGGGGTCGTACTCTAATTGGATGATTCTTTTGAGCCGCCTTTCGGTTTTCAACTCAGGTTGCTGCTTTAACGTCCTAACTTTTGCCTAGGTCACTTGAGATGTGTTCCCTAGCGGACATTTTTCTTTTGATCTTTTCTTTTGCCTAGGTTACCCATTTTTACTTGTGGGTTGCCTAGCAGATCTTGCCCTAACTTTTGCGCAGCCCCCTTAGTGGGTTTCCTGCCGGGCCTTCATTTTTTTTTTGCAACACTCATGAGGTATGGGATGTCTTTATTTTATCAAACCCTAGTCATGTTTGAATTCCTGATTGTTCCTTTGTTATCCTTTCCATGCTATTATTGAGTAACATCTTTGTTGCAAATACATTTTGTTTGTTAAGGGTTGATGGATGAGGCCTAGAGTGGATATTTAGAGGGAGAAGAGAAACGAAAGAATGTTATGGCATTTAAAACAGTACTTCCAATTTACACGTGCCCCTTTAGCAAAGCTCGGAGGCCCGAGCATGCCCCGAGTTCGTGATTCGTACACAGAGAGATTAACTGAGGTTGCCCCCTAGAGAGGCATGGTTGACGATTGGTTGAACTACGTTAGGAATGCATTCCCACTTGCTTGAATGTGGTTGTTTTGACTTCGGAGTGAAACCTTTAAGAATTTTTTCCTTCTAAAGGGAATACTCAAGCCGCCTTTCGGTTTTCAACTATAGTAGACATTGCTTTTTTTTATATATATCCCTGACTATAGGATGTATCCTATCGGGATTTTGATTCCTTTACCCTAATTTTTGCCTAGGACGCCCTTTACGGGTTTTCGTCCTAGCGGTTTTTTATCATGCAATGCCTTTATTCTTCAATTGGGTTTTGTTGTAATTCCCTAGAAGCAAGGATTCATTCATTCTTGATCATTCCTCCTATCCCAACAGTTGTCATTTTCGCATGGTGAACTCTCGATGTTTGAATCGTCAATTTGGGCATGTCATGCCCCCCCAGTCTTCTTGCACAATTACTGGTTTTTAAGTGCTTCCAATTTGATGTATCAAGTTTGCACTTGATTACCAGTGATCTGATTATTTGATTAACACGCACAGGTTAGGTTTCCCTTTTTATTTTTATTTATTATTTACCAGGAATACATGTTATCTATATGAGGTGAAAAATAGAATGCAAAGATGATTGAGAAATTTGACAAATATCATTCTCATTGATTTGTTTGTTTAGAAAACATTCTTTGTACAAGATCTTTCGGTGCACTTTGACGATGTTGTAATAGGCTACAAAAGCTAATGCTTGAATGATGTCCCTATAGACATGCTTGCTCGTTCGTTGATTTGCAATTAGTTCTTGTTTCTTCTCAGATTCTCTTCTTGCTATTCCCATCAGAAGTAACCGTCAATAGGATCTTTGGGTCACCACTATTTTGGTGATTGCCAAAATTTTCATCTTTATTGACGAGGTTGATGAGTCAGAGAAGAAAGATGCAGTTTGGAGTGATTTGATAACGAATTGGAGGTGTAAGGGAGCTTATCATCAATTTTTTTTAAAACTCCCTAAGTTCATGATTTCTCGTCCATCAGCGGAGTTTTCTTTAGCTTCCCAAACTATGTTTTTTTGAAGCAAATTCTTTTTCTATCTTTTTTTTTTGCTTCAATTTGCTTTTCTGCGTGTCTCCTTTTCAAAATTTCAAATAATCTTCTATTTGAGTTCAGGAATGACATCTTTCTAGATTGGAAAAAGTCTGAGAAGATGTAGGCTTTGCCTTCTGTTGAAAGGATGACGAGAGTCCAAAATCTAGTAGGCCTCCTTAGTATAAGGGCACACGATTCTTGTACTTTCGAATGTTCTCTTTTCTAAAAAATCTTTGCATACTATACGTCTTCCATTTTCTAATGAATGTATATGCTAAACTAAAAGATGCATGATATTTGTTTTCTGCCTAAATTTTATCATTTTTTTACTAAGGTTATGATGCATGATTTTTGCTATATATTTATTTGTTTTTGTTATTTTTTTTTTGAAATAAACTATCCTATATGATGCTTTGAGATTTGGGTATATATAAGGGAGTTAAAATTTTTATCATATTTTTTTTATTAATATCTATTTGTTTGTAATTCTTATCTATTTGAAATAAATAAACACAAACAAATGCAATACACATATGCTCAAACAAATGTACACCCGCGAACAGTCACGTTTAAAGCCAAACAAATAAAACAAACAAAGTAAAGGGGAAAATATTTAAATTATTATTTTTATTTTATTAACTTCATCAATTAAATGGGCCTGACCCTCTTTAAACGTCTCCAGTGGAGTCGCCATCTGTCGTAACCAGAAAATTTTCGATCTCACGACTAATGGTATAGACATCCTTTTAAAAGTCTCATTAATTAAGAAATGCCCGGACACCAGACTAATCCTTAATTAATGGTTTTAAAAATAGGTTCATGGAGTCGCCACCAATGTTTTACTCAAAACATTGGAAAAAGAAAAAGTTTTTAAAAAGATTCAATAATGGCCTTGATAACTAGAATTGGGTTCGGGTTAAATGTTTTGTGACAAAAAATAAGATTTAAAAGTATAAAATATATTAATAATTGTCATATTTGTCAATTATCATAACCTCAATTAGAAAACTGACGCGTTCTTGTTCTATCCTAAAAGATTTACAAGAATACTGTAAGTAAGTTATTTAGAACAATGTTGAACAAGCCTCAAAAAAATCAATTTGTTCAGTTATTTTTACTGCATAAAAACACAAATAAAACTCTTAAAACAAAATATTTTTATTTCTATAGACACACGCCATAAATATTAAATAATGTGGATATGAAACTGTAATTTGATGTTTACAAATTTACCAATGGGACCATTAATCAATGCACTACGTTTCCTCATCTATAAAATCCGTCAATTTTTACCGAAGTGTCCCACATTGACATTGCATTGCACGTCTATGTATTTTTTTATTTATTTAATAGAGGCTATCCAAAAATCCGATTTGGCAATGTCTTATTTGGTACAAGAGGTATCTCATGATATGTTTCTAGATATCTAATACCCGTTGCCAAGGAAAACAAACAATCCAAAATCCAAAAGTTGTAAGAGAAGAAGCATGTGGACACAAATGAAACTCCAATTCCAAACCAATGGAAATTGAAATATAGATCTCATAAGATATTAAGATAAGGACCCATTTTTTTATCTCTTAAGCTATATATAGTGTCCCTCTAGCATAGCCCAACTACAAGCAACATTACGAACCATTCTCTCCAATTTGACTTACAAAGCTTTTCACTGTATTACAAAATCAATCTATTACAATGGCTGCTTCAACAATGGGTCTGTCTTCACCATCACTGGCTGGCCAAGCAATCAAGCTGGCCCCCTCCACCCCAGAGCTAGGCAATGGAAGGGTCAGCATGAGGAAAACAGCCTCCAAAAGCGTTTCCTCAGGAAGCCCATGGTACGGCCCAGACCGTGTAAAGTACTTGGGCCCATTCTCGGGTGAGGCCCCATCGTACCTGACTGGTGAATTCCCAGGTGACTATGGTTGGGACACTGCTGGGCTTTCTGCTGACCCAGAGACTTTTGCCAGAAACCGTGAACTGGAAGTGATCCACTCGAGATGGGCCATGTTGGGAGCCTTGGGCTGCGTCTTCCCTGAACTATTGGCCCGCAATGGTGTCAAGTTTGGCGAGGCCGTGTGGTTCAAGGCTGGGTCTCAGATATTCAGCGAGGGTGGGCTTGACTACTTGGGCAACCCAAGCTTGATCCATGCACAGAGCATCCTTGCGATCTGGGCCACCCAGGTTATTTTGATGGGTGCTGTTGAGGGTTACCGTATTGCCGGTGGGCCTCTTGGTGAGGTGACAGACCCAATCTACCCAGGTGGGAGCTTTGACCCATTGGGCCTTGCAGATGACCCAGAGGCCTTTGCTGAGTTGAAGGTGAAAGAGTTGAAGAATGGTAGGTTGGCCATGTTCTCCATGTTTGGTTTCTTTGTTCAAGCCATTGTCACTGGAAAGGGACCTTTGGAAAACCTTGCTGATCACCTAGCTGACCCAGTCAACAACAATGCCTGGGCTTATGCCACCAACTTCGTCCCCGGAAAGTGACTGAAAAATTAGAATTGAAAAGAACAAGTAATGGCTTGTGAATTTTATGTTATTTAGTAAAGCATTTATTGGGTTTACCGAGAGAGAATGTAATTATATTATTATATATATTATATTTCTCTATTTAGTCCATTTGGTTTTATCTCCGCAATTCAATGGGTTGTGCACTTCATTTACTAACCTAATTGAAGCTCAAATGACAAATCTTAAACATTAGGAAGCTTGTTAGGTTCGAAAATCTTGTACAACAATGGGTGGTAGTGTTGGAATACAAATAAAATTTCATATTGTTAGAACAAAAAGAGAAATATGGGCTTATAATGTTGAGATACAATGTTTCATTATACTCCATTGGTAATAGACATTTGGGTGATGATTAAAAATAAAAAAATAAAAAAGATTATAAATTCAAAATAGACAATATCATACAAATATGAAGATTTATGCATAAATAACCAATAAATAATAATATATAATATAATTCTTCTCTTGATAAATATATTTCGCTCAAACAAAATACATAAGATAATTTTTACCTATAAAACACGTAAAAAGTTTTTATTGGTGTGAGAAAAACATGTCTCTACAAAAATACAAATACCAAACATTCTATTAAGAACTTGTATATGTGGTTAATGATATGAATATTTTTGTTTCACAAGTTTTTAAAAATAAGAAATATAATAATATATTATTATTGATGTGTTAACATTGTCAAGAAATTATTATAATATTTAATAGTGATTAATTTTATCTCACAAATAATTAATAATATTATGATATTATTAAAATGACTAATAATGACTACCTAAAAAATGTTCAATATTAACCATAATAATAATTACATATAATTATATTCATTTGATTTTAACTAATTATGACACAAACTTAACCATATTTACTCACATTCTTAATCACGATTGTTTGTTGGGTGGCTGCTATATGTAAAAAAAATCAGTACTAGGACGAATCTATGATGATCTTCTAATTTGTATCATTGGCCTCATTTACTCTTTTACCGTTTTATGTTGACTTTGTCTTTCAATATTTTGTACTTTTTCCCCATAAATTTATATAAAAGCAAGTTTTACAAATTGCCAACTGTTATTTTATGATATTTATTTGAGTGGATATTTTATGAGGATTATTTTTATAAGATTATTTCAAACACAACTTCACAATGATGAAATATTATTTATAAGTTATTATTTCTTCTTTTATTTTATAATATGTGAAACTTATTTGTATCCCAACCTGTCATCAAATTCAAGGTTTTACTTTTAGTCATCATTCAAAAGGTCTCTCAATCATTTGAGTATATATATTTTATAAATTATTATTTCTTCTTTTGTTTTATCGATATGGGACTTGTTTCTATTCTAACAAAATGAAATACTTTATTCTGTTTTGTTTTCTTCTTAATTATACTTTCAGTAAAAATAAAATGTCATTTTTTAACCTCAAATCCTTGTTTTATTTATAAAATGCACCAAATATAAAATAGGACTTATATTCCATCCCATGTTAAAAACCTCGGTCCTCAAGTAAATATTCTACCATAGGCATAAATGTGGAGTGTGTTATGCAAAGGTATAACAAAGGCCATGTTGACAATGATGTGTGTCATAATACAAACAAAAGTCTCTTATCATTTAAAAAATAAAAAAGAAGAAGAAGAAACAAGAACATAAATTTATAAAATATTCAAAATCTCCATTAGTATAAGATTTATTAAATGATCTAAAAATAAATTTACAAAAATTTAATTTTAAAAAAGACAGTATCGTACCAATATATGAGATATATTTCCACAAAACTGCTTCATTCAATTATTTACCTGGAGAGTTTGCAAACAATGGCCTAATATTATTAAAATTAAAATTATGTTCAGCTTTCACGAGATTGGAGATGTGTGCTTCTAGAATCGTTTCTCGTGCCATACTTTTGCAAGTGCTTTTTAATAAACAGACAAGTAAATAGAATGAAAAATCTAGCTTGGCAGGCACATGAAGTCTTAAAATTCTGAATGGTGATAGTTTGTCAGCGCGTCCCATCAGCCAAACCATGGTGTTGACACTTCAACTACTTAATCAATTTCCTAGTTACCAATTTAGCATATTACTTGACTATTGTCATCTTATATATGATTTTCATTTTCTTTTTCATCCGTCATAATCTTTAATATGAACTAGGAGAAACACTTTACAACTCTTTAAATACGTTCACGAATGTAGGAGGAAATACAAAAATTAGCAAAAGAAAAAAAAATGAGGCACATAAAGGGAACCACAAGTTGGCAGAAAATTTTAGGGCTATGCACAAATCTATACTTAGCTTTGCATTATTTTCAAGATACTATAGCTTTGGAGATACTATACACTGTAGAAGTTTTATTCACTTGGTGCAACAGTACCAAAACCAAGCATAAATCCCACTTCTTATAGGGGATTTCAAACACATGAGAACATTTATGATTACAAATATGAGATGCCTTATTCGGAAGGAAGCTATAAATTACACCTCACTTGTGATTTAAGACAGATTTAGATGATTCACATGTATAAAAAGAATAATGAAACCTCTCAAAACATATGTTGTTGTATCTACAAACACTCGCCACAAATAACATTTCTGTAGTGGCAGCTCTCACCTACTAGTACTGCATCCATGGGTGTATCTTTGACCAAAAATTTATGCATGTTGCAAACCTTATTTGTATAAAACACCAAACCATGCCTTCCACTTTCTGTTTCCTTAGTCACAATTCAGTCCACATATTTCCAACACAACATCATTTTTGGCCAAAAATGGGTTGATTCTCACCCATAGTAGTGTTAAGATTGAAGCCAGAAGAATAGCCCAGACCAAAATGATGGTAGGAACACCTTCTTGTTTTCCCATGACCCCCTTGAGGAAAGGGTATAGATGGACAATGACCCAAAGGGCAAAAAATAGTTTCCCAAACAAAGGACCCCATGAATCATAGCCATTGTTTATAGCATCTGAGACACCAACTATGACTCCAATTATGTTTATGATTAGTAGGGTCAGAGGAGGGATCAACAAGGATGTCCACTTGAAGATGTAGAGTTCAGCAAACTCTCCATCATCTGCCGCTTTGGATGTGACTGTGAAGTTTGTGTTCACTCCTGCTAGAACTTTGAGCAAACCCTGAAAGAGAGCAAACAGATGTGAGGAGGCTCCACCAATAACCCAGAACTGCTCATTCCTCCACCAATCATGTATACCAACACCTCCCCACTGCATTTCCAGGATGCTAGTTGCAGCTATAGAGATGAAGAGGGCCATGAAAATGATACTGGCATAGTTACTTATCTGAGAAGAAGAAAATAAAACATTAGTCAAAAGCACCATAAAGTGCATCACATTCTATGTTCAGAGCAATTATTGAATTTTGTGTGAGCATAGTACCTATCAGCACTACCGATCAAAAGTTTGAGATCATATTAAAATAACTTGAAAAGTGCATGGAACACACTCTCGGACACATTTTTTTTTAAACTTGCCATCTCTGATTGTTTAATTTTTATTGGAAAACACCAAAATTTGACAAGTCTCACACCCTATTTAATGACTCTCACAATTTGGTAATTTTAAACAAATTTTAACGTAGCACTCTTCAAATAACTTTAGCACACACTTAACTACAGACTTCATTATAATTTTGACACATCTTTAGCTTTCGAATGGTTGTGCCTATAGGCACTGTACTTATGCTAGAATTGCTCCTATGTTTATGCAGTCCTAGGATGTAACCTGTACTAAGACTCATGGTGGTAATCAAATTTAATAAAATTAATCCTACCTCAGGGACTATGAACTTCCCAGTGAGCAGACAGACGGCTGGCAAAGTGCAGTAGGCTATTAAGGGGATTGAAGTCAGAGGATAAACAACCGAGTTTATGTAAGAGAAGCGTTCCAGCGATTTCAAGCCACAACCATAACCATACCATATAGGACAATGCCTACTAAAAAAGATCTCAACAGATCCAAGTGCCCAACGAAGAACTTGATGCAGACGATCTGAGAGATTTATAGGAGCTGAACCCTTAAAAGCAGGCCTTTTTGGCATGCAGTACACAGATCTCCAACCATGACAGTGCATCTTGAAACCAGTTAAAATATCTTCAGTAACAGAGCCATATATCCACCCCACCTGAAAAACAAATGTAAAAGAGGTTAGAAGAGCCATATACATGTAGTTCATAGCTTAACAGAGCTTCAAAGCCTTGAATTTTAAGCATATAGCACACCTCTTTCCCCCAATCTGTCTTATCTTCATAACCACAACTAATTACATGGATGGCTTCTTTCAAGAGTGTTGCAGAACTTGCTGCTTTTGGAAGACCCCCATCTTCCAACAGTGTTGAAGCTATGAAAACAGATGATTGCCCAAATTTCTTCTCAAACTTTTGTTGAGACATTAGTGACGACTTCTCATTGTCAATTCCTGTGATCAAGGTTTCAAGAACACAAAATGCCATTGAAAAACTAGTTAGTTTTGTATACATGTAAAAACAGTAAAAGTATGCTACATAAGTATGTACTATATATTATAATAGTAGTGCAAAATTCAATCCAATGCGTTTCAAAGATCTATTTAGAATACATTTCAATGTTTCCAAATGAAACACAGCTAATTTGAGGTGTTTTATACCTTCAATTCCCTCTTCAATATTTTCTAGTGCATGCATTTGCTTCGCATCATTCTTTATCTTCTTTTTCACACTTGACTTTGCTCTATTCTTTTTCTTCCTTGATCCACAACACAGACAACACCATTTAGGCCAACAGTTACATGTCTTCCCTGGTGGTTTCTTTGAAGAAGGGGCATCATATCCATAAAGTGCCTGCCTCCTGAAGACACACCCAGTTCCCACATATATTGGTCCTTGGATGCCATCCAAACCTTTCATATTGATCTATACATATTGAAATAAATATTAGCATTTCCAACAAATCAAAATGCAGGGTATATATATGTAATCACAAAAATAAGAGCAAATTCCTACATACATCAAAGAACACAACATTGCGATTCGAGTATCTATCATGT